GGGGGGGGGGACCAAGGGCAACACACGTAACCTAGACATCTGTACACCCATAACTTGCTGAAATAAAAAAAAAAAAAATGATGACTCCACTCATCCTAGCTCAGTCATCTGAGAAGACTGGATTTGCTGAGGGAGCAAGAATGGCCCTCAAGAGGCAGAGGCTCTGAATGAGACTGGTGAGAATGAGAAGCAGCCATACATATTCAGAATTAAAAAGTACAAGTCTTTATTAATATCCATTGACTTTTCCCCTAACTTTTACGCAGGACAATGAAATTTTTTTTTTTTTCGGGAATGTGGTAGGCCAAGAAATGGCTTCCTGTGCTAGTTTCCTAGGGCTGCCATAACTAATTACCACAAACTGGGTGGCTTGAAAAAACACAAACCTTTTCTCTTACAGTTCTGGAGTCCAAAGTCCAGAATCAAGGTGTTGACAGGCCACGGTCTCTCTGATGGCTCTAGTGGAGGACTCTTAACCTCATCCTAGCTCCTGGAGGTGGCCAAGAATCCATGGCTTGTAAACACATCACTTCAATCTCTGCCTTTGTTATGACATGGTGTTTTACCTGCATGTTTCTGTGTCTCTGTTTTCTCTTCTTATATGGACACCAGTCATTGGACCTTATCTTAACTAAATCACATCTTCAAAAACCCTATTTCCAAATAAGACAAGAATTTTTGGAGTACACTATTCAACCCAATGCATCCCTCAAAAAATATTCATGTCAAATCTCTGGAACTTGTGAATATTACCTTACATGGCAAAAGAGCAGATAATACCTTACAAGGGAAAAGAGGTGATTAAAAGAGGATTTTAAGAGGAGCTGTTTATCCTGGATTATCTGTTTGGACTTAATTGCAATCAGAAGTATCTTTGTAAAAGAGAGAGAGGGGGAATTTGGAGGAGACACACACAAAAAAAACAGAAGGTGATATGATGATGAAGCAGAGAAAGATGCAACCACAAGCCAAGGAGTGCCAACAGCCACCAGAAGCTAGAAGAGGCAAGGAACAGATTCTCCCTTACAGCCTCTAGAAGGAATGCATCCCTTACCAACACCTAGATTTCACTTCTGGCCTCCAGAACTATGAGAAAATAAATTTCTGTTGATGTAAGCCATCCCGCTTATGGTAGTTCATTACAACAAACTCAGGAAAATAATAAAATAAATTTTCTGAAAACCCATTATTTTGACACTACTCATTATCCTTATTAAAGACCCCTTTTTGGTGCTATATCAACAAATATTGACATCTCTTCAAGATTTACCTTGAAACCTCTACCTCACATAACAGTTCCCCAACCCTGAACTATTATGTCACCTACATGCCCAAATCAATAAAGGCCCTGCATCAAAAAAAAAAAAAAAGAGAGAATACAGAGATGAAACCATCTGCATATGGTAATCTAATCTTTGACAAAGCTGACAAAAACATAAACTGGGGAAAAGAATCTCTTTTCAATA